TACTACGATTCGTGAGGTTATTAAAAGGATTTCGATACGTGAGATATGAACTAACCTTTACGATATTCAAACGTCAAATTACGATCCTGTAGGCACATTCACCAGCGCACTACCCTAGGCAAGAAATCCTCGTGTAATTTTCAGGGCGCTGCAGTTAGTTACTACCCCAAAAAATGTTTTCCGATGAGATGACGAAAATGTTGCAACGCCTTGACAACAGCAAGTATCTTGCGAGCTCCGGAGTAGTACCTTGGATCTGCACATATTGTAAAGCTACTGCGTATATGCGTCTGTCTTTACCTATTTGAATTAGTACAGTAACCTAGTGCACTTGCATCCGTATGGACTTCAGTCCGTAAATGGTCAAAGATAAGCAACGCGGATTGACTAGCCAAAATAGAGATGATCTCATTTTTCTAGTTTCTATTCTTTCCCCCGTTAAAATTTCAAGAGACGATTTGGGTGTATTACGGGATATACCGCCTAAGATAGCTAACTAGTATCACCAAATGCTATCCACTAAATACTGTACAAACCGTGTCAGCTCTCCTTACATCTTATTGTTTGCATTTGATCAGTTCATGAACATGAACGAGGACTGCTTGTAGAGACTTTCCTACTCTAACACCGCTTTAATCTTATTTACTTAATCACCCGATTGATTGCGTATTTAATATTTTGATTTTAATGATTTAGTACTAATTCGCAGTTTGTATTCACACATTTGAACTTAAAATGTAGAGTTACCACAAGGGTTCAAAAGAGCAACAGACTTAGTCTTCCTCATTCGTTCCTTATACGATAAGATAGTTCACGCGGAAGATTCAAAAATAAGTATTACTTGATGAATGAATGAAGTGCTCAAATTGAAATTTGTTTGAACGAAGAATCCATCATTTCTATTTGTATAGGCTCGGCCTGACCTGACTCTTACAAATAGTTCCAGTCTCCTAGGATACACAACCTCAGGAGTGAGGTAATTACACTTAGCGGAAATTAATTGTAAACCTGGATTTTCACACGCATGCTTAATTTATAACCGTAAAATAATTTATATGGTCGATTCGGTAATTAACCGTCGTACCTACATAACGCTACTTCGTTAACAAGTAGTCTAATGTGTATCTCTATACGGTATTGACCATAGCTGTGACTGAACCACTAAAAAGTATTCAAAATGTTTATTCATTAAGACTACAAATTTTCTTTTTCATCACCACGATACGGTGTATTTATCAATTGAAGTCTCGCTATCGATTCACTACGCGCTATATCATTTTCAAAGAGCGGTTTCTAAAAATACGCTAAAAATCGTTATTTCGTATACGCAATGTCTTTTCAATATTAAAAATATCATTACCAATGAGTACTGACGTCTTTAAGATAATCACAAGGTACTTAGAAGTTACTTCTTGTGAGATGTTATGAATTTTGCAGGTAAAGTAAGTAAATCAGACCTTACAACACGAAAACGATCATTTGATTTAAAAGAAGTTGAACTACTATCGTACTAAACATTTGTGGGTATAATCAGACCGCATATCCATTTCGTCTAAACAGCATAATATGTGCATCTTACAACACGAAAACGATCATTTTGATTTAAAAGTTGTTGAACCACTATCGTACTAAACATCTGTGGGTACCCGCATATTACGGCGCGATAATTTCGTCGCGATGTGCATTATCACTAGTCCAAGTCACGGCGAAAACTTGCGTTAGCCTAATTCAGATTATTTCTTTGTAAAGTAAGCGTATTCAGTATGACCTATCTTCTTACAAAACGCATATACGATTTTGTCCGTAGGTTATTTTTCAAAAGAACTAAATTTACTTCTATACTACTCGACTATATTGCAACGATAACACCGTATTTGAGAATCTACTTCTATACTACGTAGTTTGCTATGATATATGACCAAGTATGATCATCACTAGCCCACTCACGTTACTACGCGCTTGCTTCACCTTTTAACGACAAAACTGACACGTCTGTCGGTTCACTGAATGACCACGATCTACTTCATCGCAACTATTCGTCAATGTTGCGCATACTTATAAGTATGAAATATAAAAATGGAAAGATCTCACCAGATTCATGACATTAAGCGTCGATAAGACGTTTCGTAATGTCTGTTGAGGTAGCAACCGATCGCGCCACCGCACCAGGTGCACTCGGTTGGCGCCTGGCTGGCGCGCCGACTGTCTGCGCGGGCGGCGACAGCGCGGCCGGGGCCGGTGCCGGCGCAGGCACGTCGTCAGCATCTACGTCGGCAGCTATATGCGAACCCCTGTTTCGCTGAGCTACCCGCACGTTGTTCCAGCGACACCAATTGTTGAGACTTGCGTCCATTAACGCTCCTAGTTCACCTATATTTGATAGGTGGAGAACGGAGACGCGTGCTCTCGTAACGATGGGCGTTTTCTACTCGACATGTAATCAATCCTTAGTCAAAAATGTTATTCGCGACCAAAAATGGCCTCGAATCCCACTTCTGATGTTAGGAGTATCCTCTAAATTTAATTAAATAAAAGAAACTGATAACAAATCGTATAATTAATTTTAACAAAATCAGTAAAAGAATTTAAAAAGCAAACACGGTATGATACGGAGATTCGTTCGAGAGCACGTCTGTCGACCAAAAGAGGCCGCACACCGGGTTTCGCAACCTTTTATAGACGCGCCGCACGACGGTGGCGCCACCACAGGAAGTTACACCTAACAATATATATATATTATACTTTGTTACCTTATTTCCACTCACGTGCCGCCTACTTTATTTTTATTTATACTCTTTTTCATAAGGTTGTCTGGAAGAGATTGTGTTAGGGATAAGACAGCCTTCTGTACCTTCTTCTTTCTTTAATGTATTGTTATATATTATTTTCTTTTTATGTATCTACTTTTAATATTGGTGCAATAAAGAATTATAAATAAAATAAATAATATGTCGTTGAGTATTGTAATCTAGATATTATTTTTATAAATTTAATGTGTTTAGAAGGGTAACCCCCAAGTATAGGCTAGATCTTTCGAAAATGTAATCATACTAAATTTATATTTTTATCTACCTATTTAGATAACGACATGCCTACTTATATATAATATATAATCTATACATCTATACATATAAATAAAATTGGAGTGTCTGTTTGTAATATTGAAATAACCGTTTTTTTCTACATGTATATGAATATATATACGGTACATACACCAAAATAGCATTTTTTACAAATTTTGTCTGTCTGTCTGTTCGTTCCGGCTAATCTCTGAAATAGCTGTACCGATTTTGACGGGACTTTTATTGGCAGGTAACTGATGATATAAAGAGTAACTTAGGCTACTTTTATTTTAGAAAAATAAAATAATTACACAAGCTTTAGCTAGCTTAACTTGGGTCTAGATGGCGCTGTGGGAATTGTCCTGAGATTATTATTATTATTATTTTAGGTCATATACTTAGGTATAAATGAAACTACTGTATGTTCTTTTACATTTTATTACCTTAATAAACCTAGTTCTTAATACAATAAATAGAACGTTCTAAATAAAACAAATAGCACCGAGTTTATATCTAACTAACTTCGTCCGCGTAAAATGACGATACTTCCATATAACCTTTCAACCCTTGTTTTACATTAAAAAGCCTATGTCCTTTGTTAGGGTCTAGACTATGTGTGTACCAAATTTCATTTAAATCGCTTCAGTGGTTTCGGCGTGAAAGCGAGACAGACAGACAGAATTACTTTCGCATTTATAATATTAGTAAGAATTGCTAAGTGCAATACATAACTGACTTGCAAGTAGAAATATATGGTTATTTTATATTTATAACTGTTAAAGTAACAATTATATATATTCCTTCAGAACTTGTATACCTATTAACCGCTTTAAAACCACTTCAAAGTTGTTTTGAACAACATCACAGTTAACTGCCTCACGTAATGATTAATAATCATATTTTACACACCTTTTTAATTAATTACATCTTGATAGAGAGTGATGTGGACCGACTTTGAGTTGTTATTGCATGCTAATTATAATCCATATTGCTTCTTTTTATGTTCAATTTGTCTACCTCTTTCCTTGTAAATTGTGTACACCCTTTTTGGCCACGATCTCAACGCATTGTCGATTACTTCTTGAGGAAGTTGTTTCCAATCTCTTTTTATCGCTCTTTTCAGGCTTGCCATGTCACTCACTTTCATCTTACCTGCTCTTGTTTTTAACCATGACCAGATTGTGTAGTCCATCGGAGCCGCATCGGGAGAGTTCGGCGTCCATTCCTCATGCTTGATATAGTTGAGTTTACCACGCATCCATGTCTTAGTCATATTCTAAACATGCGATGGTGCAGAATCCTGATGGAAAACGAAATCACCATTTGGATATAGTCTAGGTGCATCATATCTCAGAAATTTCTTTAGTATATTTTTGATGTAATATTCAGAGTTGATTTTAGCTCCAGATTCTACAAGATATATGTTTGTCTTGCCAGCATGTGAGATCCATACCATAAACCCCATTGCGTGTTGTTTTCTGCGAATTTTCATTTCGATTTCAGGATTCCTTTTGTCTCTCGAAACATACTGAATACTTGCTCCACGATCACAGTCACTCATATATGTCCAAGCTTCGTCAGTTTGTGATGACATGTTGCCATTGATTCTTGTTTAATTTCTTATATAGCTTCAGTAATCTTGTAAAAAACATTCAACCATGCCAACAACAATTCGTGAGAGATTCGTGTTGGCGGCATCGTTGTTTTGACTATGTTTTTGCTTTTTTCTACTAGAGGGAGAAATATCCTTTCCAATATTACCTGATTTGTGACTCTGAGTTCAAAAATCGCAAATTTACAACATGTTAAAGTCGGTCCACATCGCTCTCTATCAACCTGTATTTATGACTTTAATACTATTACTAAGCTGCCATTCGGCTACCATCGGCTACGGTCGGCTACCACCGGCTTCGGTCGGCTACCATCGGCTATCGTCGGCTACGGTCGGGTGTAGTCCTTGTATATGAGTATTGCGTCGTGGTCCGTACCCACAGCGCGGTGAGCACGCAGCACGCGCTCGAGCGGCGCCGCACACACGCGCCCCCGCCCCCCTCGAAGCCCTCCCCCTTCCCCGCGCCCCCCTCCCCCAACCTCTCGTCCGCCCCTTGCGGGGTCGCAGTAGTAGGCGCGAGTACCTCGTAGCCCGCACAGGACCACGTAGTGGCCTCGGTACCTGCGACCTCCCAAGCACCACCTACGTTCAAATACCTTGTTTATATAGTTACTCACAATATCTATGTCAGAACTATTGTATAGTGTCATTTTGTGTGTGTAAAGTTTGCATTAAGTTATGCATGCTGTGTCTACATCTAGAAGGAGTAGTTCTAAAGATTTAAGCATACATAGGGACGGACAGACAGCGACAGTAACTTCGTTTTATACTATGTAATGATATGATATACAGTTAACTTAAGCAAGGATAAAACACTGTTTTATCTACTAGACGTCCCGGCAAACGTTGTTTTGCCTTAAAATAAAAAAAAAATGTTGGGGTGGTCTACGGGTAGTCCATTTAGGGCGATGAAAATTAGATATTGGCCGATTCTCAGACCTACTCAATACGCTCACAAAATTTCATGAGAATCGTTCAAGCTGTTTCGGAGGAGTATGGGAACGAAAATTGTGACACGAGAATTTTATATATAAGATATATGAAATTTCAGATCTACATTACTCCAAGAAATAGCAAACTTAAAAAAGGTTCACTTGGCTGAAATTCTGCCTCATGTGGTACACCGTAACGCACTTACATCATAATATAATATAATGACAACCAGAACTTTACCTAAAGTCGAGTCTGAATTTGTTATAGTAGCATAGATCACAGGAGAGCAGGCTGGCGTCTATGAGCAGTATGAGGGGTCCCCGCCGCAGCTGGGCGGCCAGCTCGTGCGGCGCCAGCCCCCCGCGCCGCTCCCTCACGTCCAGGCCTGCGCCCCCTGCCCCGGCAAACCTACTCTGCACGCGCCGCCGATCCTGAGGGTATACCACACAATCTAACATGGTTGTTCCCCTACATCCGATGTAGATACATCGTTGCATGCTGCTACACCGACCACGGCACCCCATCATCCTGCCTTCACTACGCCATCAAGGAACAGGACATTGTCGATTACATATGGACCAGGAGTAACCTGACATTGAGTGACGCAGCTGGAGTCAAGCCACAACGCGAGTTTCAAGGCGTTTATGGTCCGAGTCACCAACATGCTGCCCACCTTCATGAAGGAGAATTACTGGCCGAAGACGGTGGTACATCAGCGCTATCGTGGCAGATTGCCGTCGTCACTGCCATGACCATAAAGACATTTTCAATATATAATATTTATTCATATGTATGTTAGTCTATAAGGTATTTATACTATGGGACTAGTAGCCTGATATAAATAAACACATAAAAATAAAAATAAAATTTTTTGTTCTGTTTATTTTTTTTGGATCTTTGTACACAAAATGTGACAATGACATCGTACCAGTAATAATAAATTTAAAAAAAACTTTTTTTTTTATTTTATTAATACTAAAAACTTTTTTTATTAATAAAATAAAAAAAACTTTTTTTTTTATTTCATTAATAATGGGATTGGCAAGACCTAGGATGTAGGGCGCTTACCCAGAAGAAATCTATTCACCATAGACTTGAATAATCCGGGGTTGTATTTCTCCAGGAACACAAAAGCTGGAAGTGTGTTCCACTCTTTGGCAGTGCGTATTAGAAAGGACGATGCAAACCGCTCAGTGCGAATGTGCGGAATTTCCACGACGTACGGATGAAGTCCAAGTGTTCGTCGTGTAGTTTGGTGGTAAAAAGGAGAAGGCAAGATCAATTTATGCAGGTCCTGTGCACACTTGCCAAAGTGTATCCTATAAAACACCGACAGACTGGCCACTTTGCGTCGATGTTCTAGCGTCTGAACTCGCCCCATTGGCTTTGCGGCGAGATATTGCATCTCTGTGCATTTTCCACCGCATATATCACGGGGAGTGTTCTGAGGAATTGTTCGGATTAATACCAACTGCTGAGTTTCACCACCGTACCACCCGCCAGAAACTGAAATACCATCCTGATCATCTGGACGAATGGCGGTCCTCCACAGTACGGTTTTCTAGAAATTTCTGCCACGCACAACCACATTGTGGAATCACCTTCCAGCAATGGTATTTCCGAACCGATACGATATTGAAACCTTCAAGAAAAGAGCTTATTCCTTTTTAAAAGGCCGACAACGTACTTGCAATTCCCCTGGTGTTGCGGGTGCTCATGGGCGGCGGTAATCACTTACCATCAGGTGAGTCGCATGCTCGTTTGTCCCTTGTGTTATAAAAAAAAAACCTTCTAACAATGTGATGCCAGCCAGAATAACTTGGCTGCATCGGAAGCTGGACTTGCCAATATTTCATGGAATATACATACCTATGTTGCACAAATTGCAAGCGAAAATTGCGAAAGATATTTTTTTTTCGGACTATTCTAATGCTGGTCATAGCTGGTCTTTGCAGAACGATAGAGGGCCAGTGTAGATGGCACTCCAGACTAAAGAAAGGACTTATGGAGCGGCTGAAGGCCAACTCCCGCCTGTCGGATACGACTTTAGTCTGAGGGAAACTATTATCATCAGATAGGTCTTCAGCTTGTTTGCCGTTAGTCCACATAGCTAACAATCCTCTTTTACACTAAATGTTAAGTAAAAACGGGTAGGAATTGAACTTAAACTAAAAAAAATAAAAATGGACTCAGTAGTCTATGATAGTCCTTAAACTAAAAAAATAAAAATGGTCTACTGAGTGTCTATGATAATTGATAATGTCCAGTTTAGGTATACCTATAGGGCACAATATTGACTTACCATTTTGATAATTTTATCGTAATATTCATATGTTTGATATGCCTCGTTGACACCAATCGTACTCGTGTACATAACGTGAGGTATTTCAAATCTGCAATTTAATATACATTTAGGATTTTAAACTTGGCGGTATTCATACCGCATGGAAACGAAAGAGTGAATGGGTGGAAACGAAAGGGTAATGTATGAAAACGAAAGAGTGAATGGATGGAAACGAAAGAGTAACTGAATGAAAACGAAAGAGTGAATGGATGGAAACGAAAGAGTAACTGAATGAAAACGAAAGAGTGAATGGATGGAAACGAAAGAGTGAATGGATGGAAACGAAAGAGTGAATGGATGGAAACGAAAGAGTAACTGAATGAAAACGAAAGAGTGAATGGATGGAAATGAAAGAGTGAATGGATGGAAACGAAACAGCAACTAATTGAAAACGAAAGAGTGAATGGGTGGAAACGAAAGGGTAATGTATGAAAACGAAAGAGTGAATGGATGGAAACGAAAGAGTAACTGAATAAAAACGAAAGAGTGAATGGAAGGAAACGAAAAAGTGAATGGATGGAAACGAAAGAATAACTGAATGAAAACGAAAGAGTGAATGGATGGAAACGAAAGAGTGAATGGATGGAAACGAAAGAGTAACTGAATGAAAACGAAAGAGTGAATGGATGGAAACGAAGGAGTGAATGTATGAATAAGGAATGATTAAGAAAAGGCGATGGGCATCACTCTCTTCCTCATAGACTGCCATATAGTTAGGCCGTTACATCCTTGTAGTAAATGTTTTTTTAAATTTTAAATAAAAGGAGTCCTTGATTATCCTGTTATTTGCGAATTCTCACTCCCACATACATTTTACATTATGCACCGTGTTTATAACCAGTCAACTAGGGGGAAAGGGGATTGTTAGTAATGTGGACTCATGACCTAGACCTCACGACCGCAAGACCACCGGTCTAGCGGTCTAGCACACCGCTTTACGACCGATCGTCGCGGGTTCGATTCCTCGCACGGTGCAAACATGTATTCATGAGTATGATTGTTTGTATCAGTCTGGGTGTTGTTGTATCAGTTATCTAGTACCCATAACACAAGCTTTACCTAGCTTAACTTGAATCTAGATGGCGCTGTGTGAATTGTCCTTAGATTATTATTATTATTGTTATGACCCCATTACTAGCAATGTCCTATGTCAGGTTGACCTCCAAAACTTGACAGAACTTTAATTTGATTGTATATGGTGTATAAAACATTGTTAGTTAAATTTAACTAAACATCTCACCTTTTTAGTAAGTAGCACAAATCTATAGTCCATGTGCACTGACCGAAACCTTCCTCGTGACAGATGTCATTGAAATTCTGTAGCATATATTCCTGTTGCTGTGGATCAAGCAACATGAGGACGCATGTGACTCCACAGTCCCAATTGTACCGTTGTTTGTAATGTGTAACATTGTGGAATATGTCAGTGTCTCCTTTTATTTCTGTTTAAAAATATACTCAATGAAACGTTAACATTACATCAGAGATACAAAGTTTAAAAAGATTATTGCACAGGATTCATTGTATTTGGTTCACTGGATGGCATGACAATTAATATTTTAATACTTGTTGTATGGTTTTGTAATTTTTTATTGCTCTTGCCTTCTGCTACACATACCCAGTTTGTTACGAAATATATTTTTATTTATTTTATTTAACTTTAATGCACACAATACAATATATCATACAGTACATTTGGTGGAATTAACACCATGCGGTATTTTCTACCAGGCAACCATAGGTGGTGCTGAGAATAATTGTTGGCGGTGCAAATACAAATAGAATACAAAAAAAAAACAATATACTGTTGTACATTCATATATGCGCCATTAATTACCATCATTGGCTGCACCGACTGGCTGCTGGGGTCCACACAATAAATTTCTTGGATCATAAATGTGCCTAGACATAATTTCCAAACTAATAAAAACTGTATCAATTCCTTCCAGAATCATCTATGTCCATTACTATTACTTTTGCAGATAATGGTACTAAATATGGTTAAAGTAAAAGTAACTACCTCGTTTAAAACACTTATATCATTGGCATGATATGGGTCAGCTAACCCGCGCAATTTTGTCTGCATCACACTTACTTGACATTTAAGTTTATATTTCGCCCACTTGATATAATATGTTTTTAAACTTTAGAAATAGAAATAAATAGAAATAATCTTTATTCAAATAAACTCATTACAAGCACTTTTGAATAGTCATATTTTGATTCTACCACTCATTCGGAATGCAGATTCATCACAAGAAGAATGAGCAAGAAACTTGTGTGTTGCTCTTTTTAACTTTAGCCTATGTTATTCTAATGTACAAGCTATATTACTGTAGTTTCATCAAAATCCGTTCAGTAGTTTTTGCGTGAAAGAGTAACAATCTCACATACCATTACTTAATCATTCTCAATTACTTATGGTATAGCTATAAAGATTGTTTATTTCGCTAAAATATATTTTTTTCCTATACTATATAAGACAGGACGATTATGCCTACACTTACCCTCTACTTCAGTCATATTAACTCATATTTAAGGGAAAAATATACAAAATATGCAATTTTTAACTTAGTATCTATTACAACTTAGGAAAAATACATTTCTGTTTCGTGTTACTTATTTTCAAGTATTATTTAAAGTATCTAAAAATACTAAATATTTTTGATCTAATGTTTTGACTTTTGGTTGTTATTGACATGATTGATAACAAACAGGTAGGATCAGTCACATTGATAACACTGACAATTCGTTCCGTTTCAGAATATTTTATTTATTTGTTTCTATAGTATCATAAAAATTTTACAAAAAGCTACGACAAATAATAAAATTTATGTACTCTATAACTATGTAATATTTAATTTTGCGTGTAAGAAATATTATTTCATACAAGTTCAATTATTCATTCCAGTTCTTCAATTATATGAATAATTTCTGCATGAAATGGAAACAAAATAGGGAATGACAGCTGTACGTTTTGTTGTCGCTTTTTGTAATTTTCATGAAAATCGTCGAAAACCTAATCTGTGGAAACAGTGTTATAAACGAAGTATATACATTATGTTTCTTAATATATTTAATATATAAGACTATATATAAATCTGTGTATAATAAACTTGAAAATACTGTTATTAAAAATAAATAATGAACTATTTTTTCTGTCAAACATTACTTATATGTTATAGTTAGCAACAACTAAACGGAACCTAAAAAAATTGTTTTTTTTTTTAATAATATAACCTAATATTATTAAAAAAAATTATTGCATACATAAAAATTAATAAATATAATTTTATCATTCTGAAGTGTAAATAATATAGTCTTAGAATTAATATGCAATACATGTTTAGACTGTGATTATTATTATAACACTTAACTATTCTTAAGTTCATTCACGAATTAACTTATTTATTATATATAAATACTGACTATATTTGCCAAAAACTCACTGAGTAAAAATTGTTATTTTTACTTGAAGTATAAAATTAAATATGCTGAACTTTTAAACAGTGTTCCACCACTAATTTTCATTCTAGATCCGAACGTTTAACCTTTATTATACAATGTTCAGAAGTGTATTAATAAAATCAAGAAATGCTAAAAAGCTTTTCTCGTGTGAACTACGTGCTGTCAACAGTAGAAGTAATCACACAGAGACTGCAACTGGTGACAAAGAAAATAAACAAACCCACTTTGGTTTCGAAACTGTAGATGAAGGAGAGAAATGGAAAAAAGGTTAGTTTCTACACAATAATATTCTTATAGTAACTATATATTTGTAGTTTAATATCATCATAATCGCAGCCCGGAAGATGTTCACTGCTGGTCATAGATCTCCCCCAAAGATGTTCACGACTATCGGTCCTGCGCTGCTCGCATGCAATACCTTGTGAATGTCATTTTGAGCTAACTGACCTGACCTCATGCTCATCTTATCCTCCACTGATGCCCCGCTAGTGTAAACTGTTAGCGCAGGAAAAACACCATTCCATTATCATCTATTAAATAAAAAAACTATTTTCATTAATGTAACTGTTTGTATGAGTCTGGGTGTTCTATGTATATTATGTATGTATTGATAAAAAAAATAGACAAATATTTCTGTTGTTTAGTACACATAGTATAAATATATTATAATTTTACAGTGCATGAAGTATTTGAAAATGTAGCTGACAAATATGATCTCATGAATGATGTGATGTCTTTTGGTATCCATCGACTTTGGAAGGACATCTTCATCCAACGGTTGGCACCCACGCCTGGCACGAGACTGCTGGACATGGCTGGAGGCACTGGTAAGTATTCGATTTGCTGTTGTTAAGCTGGAATACTATCTATTTATTCATTACTCATTTGTTATATGCACAACAATTCCGTACACAAAAAAATCTGCAGATTTTGTCAAACTGAAGAGGAAACGCCACTGCATATCCTATGTGGTTATAACCCAGTCATGCATAAACATATCTCCTTTGGAATAATTGTCAATAAAAAAAATATTCTTTTGTTGCCATTCCATAGGACTAAGGGACCATTCAAGTAGTATGTAAGTGATATAGAAGGCCGGGGGGTCTTTGCTTTGCTTATTTTGCATGACAGGAGAGTCTAGATGATGATTACGTTGTTAGCAGTTATTTACTTTTTTATACAAATGGCAACCCTCACATTGTCTTTGCTAAAAAAACAATACATTAATTAAAAAATGTTTACATAAGCATGGGGGTTTTTTTTAGTGGATGATAATGGAATGGTACACCCGCCTGCGCTAACGGTTTACGCTGGCGGGGCACCAGTGGAGGATGATAAGATGAACATGAGGTCAGGTCAGTTAGCACATCGTGATAAATTCACCGGGAATTTATCACGATGGTTTCCAGGGGGAACCGCGTGGAGGTCAACCTGACGTGGTACATTGCTAGAAATGGGTTAATTAGTCCACATTACTAACAATCCCATTACCCCCAAGCATGGGGGAAGGGATAAGAGCTTTGGTTACTTTTGTTCGTTTGTGCTCTAATCACTATGACTGATTTTTACTTATTAATTGTTTAACCAGTTGGTTATATATTCAATATTTTTTCTATTTGAGTATTTAATTGAATTAGTGCTAATTGATGGTTTGTATTCACACACTTAAACTTAAAAATGTAAAGTAATAATAAAATTATTTAAAAGAGCAACATGCAAGTTTCTTGCTCGTTCTTCTTGTGATGAGACAGCTTTCCGAACGAGCGGTAGATTAAAAAATGTAATGACTATTCAAAAGTGCTTCAATGTAAGTTTATTTGAATAAATGATTTTCTATTCTTCTATTCTATTCTATTCTTTGTTGACAAGGGGGATTGGAGGGTAAATAATAATTTATTTTGTAATACTGATATGGGCTGACTGACCTGACCTCATGCTCGTCTTATGATCCTCCACTGGCACCCCGCCGGCGTGAACCATTAGCTCAGACGAGCACCATTATTTCACATAAAAAAAATAATTTTAGGATATGAGCTGACCCGAGCATCCTCGTCTACATTTAATTTCCTCACCTTTTGAAATATTTTTCATTGCAGCTCCGCTCCTATTAACCGTAGCGTAATGTTATATAGCTTAAAGCCTTCCTCGACAAATGGACTATCCAACAGAAAAAGAATTTTTCAATTCGAATCAGTAGTTCCTGAGATTAGCGCGTTCAAACAAACTCTTCAGCTTTATAATATTAGTATAGAAGTATAGATAAGTAGAGTCAATTGGTGATATATTTATTTGCAGGTGACATAACCTTCAGGTACATAAACTACCTGAAAAACCTCGGCGAGGCGGGCGGCCGTCGCAGCGCCGTCACTGTCTGCGACATCAACCAGCACATGCTGGACGTCGGCCAACTCAGAGCACAGAAGTAATACATTAGGATATGTGAAACTTTTACTAACGACACCTGAATTGCAAGGGTTTACTTGAAATGTTTCTTGTTGACGAATTATTAAATAAAATTAGCCAAATTAGGCAAAACTTAATGGAAAACAATATTTCACAAACGGCGGTTTAGCACATCACTTTACTGCCGATGATCGGGTCGATTCCTCGCACGGCACAAACGTTTGTATTCATGAATATGATTGTTTGTGTCGGTCTGGGTGTTTTGTATGTATTTACGAAAAAATATCTAAGTAATAATAATAATATTATATTTATTCATTTTTATACAATGTCACTAATTTATATTTATATAAGTATTTATATCAGTTGTCTACTTATAACATAAGTGGGACTAAATGGTGTTTGTTTATTTAGGTTCAGTAGGCGTTACAATAAATATCAGGAGCGTAGCTACCGTCGTATCAGTTATATATAAAATTCTCAATAATTAACTTCTAAATTTTTTTTTATTTAACAAATGACAAAATTTAAAAAAAGCATATTCTTTTTACCCCGCATAAGCTATAATAATCAGTTTGCCGAAAAAAGTTTGTATTTAAATATACAACGAGAATGTATATTTAGGTTGAATTGTTTGTAAAAATTATTAAAATTACGATGAATTTATAATAAATACTTTTAGTTTTATGCAATCTTTTTTTCTTTTGTGAGAAATCTTTACCCTTCGTAAGGGCCCCCAAACAAATTTTAATACGGGGCACCGCCAGGGCACACTCCGCTTCTGACGTAACCATCAGTATATTGTGAATTACATTTTAAATTAAACACCTAAATATCTTAATTGATTTTCTTATCGTTTATATAATTAGTATATTATCTTATATATAAAATTCTCGTGTCACAGTTTTTGTTCCCATACTCCTCCGAAACGGCTTGACCGATTCTCATGAAATTTTGTGAGCGTATTGAGGTCTGAGAATCGGCCAACATCTATTTTTCATCCCCCTAAATGTTATGACAGCTAGTATACTATATATAAAAAGCACGTTACGTAAATATTCACTTATCTTCAGGCAAGGGTATACCAAAGACAATGCAGTGGATATAGAATGGGTGTGCGAAAACGCTGAGCAACTGTCTCTCCCGGATGACTCATACACTGCATACACCATCGCATTTGGCATCAGAAACTGTACACACGTCGATAAGGTAAGAATTCAGGTATCAAAATAATTACGTACAAAACCAGCTCTTCCCGCGGTTTCTACCCTGAAAACAGGGTGTGTTATTCTTTTGTTTAATCTTTATTTTATTTTCATTCATTTCCATTCAGTGTTCGATGCCCCCCCCCCCCCCCCCCCAATTCAGACGGGGATCGAAATTTATTCATGGGAAAATATGTTTTTATGATTAAAAATCTCTAAACTTTCACCCTTATACCATTTATTCATTCTTAACTTAAGAGCAACGCTCTTGTCGATGGAGCACTTGCCACTTTCTACGATCTTCCATCACGACACGACTCCAATTCTGTCTTCAATTTGTTTAACTTTACCTTTATACCTATTTAAACACGGACTTTCAGACAAAGAGAAGTTTTTTTTTTAAATACAACCAATCATACAAAGATGACATATTACGTTTTGTTACATCGTTTACTTATGCGCTTACATTGCGTTTTGTTACATTAGAAACTTAATTAGATTTAAGTTTAAGTAAGTCAGTACCATCCACCCCTATTTTTAATAGCAATATTAATTATACATGGCAAATCAACATTTGCCGTGGCAGCTAGCTCTTCTTACTAATATTATAAACACGAAATTTTTATGAGTAAGGATGGATGAATAATTTTGATGAAACTTTACAGTAATATAACTTATACATCAGAATAAAACATAGGCTGTAATTTAAATAGATAGAATGTAAATTGAGTATGTGTAATGAATTTGCACGGGTCAGCTAGATTTATATATATTTTTTTATTTTAAACTAGCTACCCACCCTGGAGTCGCTCGGGTGTACATGTATTATACATATAAACCTTCCTCTTGAAACACACATCTATTAAAAAACGCTTCAAAATCCGTTGCGTAGTTTTAAAGATTTAAGTATACATAGGGACAGACAGACAGCGACAGCGACTTTGTTTTATACTTACTATAAGGTTTTACAATAAAATACCAGAGTCTGTTATAAATCTGCCAGAAAAAAGATTTAAATGTCAAATAAAACACTTCCTTTGCAAAAAAGCTTACTATAAAATTGAAGAATTCGTTAACGATAATAATGTTTTTCTAGAAAATTTTTAAATACATAGCACTGACAATATTATCTGATTACACTAATAACGAGTGCGTAGCGATTTCTATGTTGATTGTCGCATGCCTCTTACTTGTTATACTGTAATTATTTATGTAAAAAAAAACATCTATTAAAAAGAGCAACACACAAGTTTCTTGCTCATTCTTCTTGTGATGAATCTGCATTCCGAATGAGTGGTAGAATCAAAATATGACTATTCAAAAGTGCTTGTAATGAGTTTATTTGAATAAAGATTATTTCTATTTCTATTTCTATTTCTACTATGTAATGATATCGCCTATTGTTTTCAGTGGGGGCTGGGGGGTGCAGCCCAAAAAGCCCTTAGGTAGATCCGCCCCTGTAATTATGTACTGTGTAGGTTCTGGAGGAGGCATACAGGGTGCTCGCGCCCGGCGGCCGGTTTATGTGCTTGGAGTTCAGTCACATACCCAACGACGCAGTGCAATGGTAACTATCACTAGGGATTATGTAACGCTGTTACGAATTCTAATTCCATTTCTATAAAAAAATGTATAGTCTGAGGGCACCGCTAGGGGTTCGAAACTCAGCTCAGACTGTCGTAATTGGGATCCCCGTTGAATTGACCGACTGGTCTGCTCTAATCACTATGACTTATTTTCTTTTATTAATTGTTTAACCAGTTGTTGTATATTGAATGTTTTTTCTATTTTATTATTTCATTGAATTAGTGCTAATCGGTGGTTTGTATTCACACACTTAAACTTAAATTGTAAGTAAGAATAAATTATTTTAAAGAGCAACACACAAGTTTCTTGCTTGTTCTTCTTGTGATGAGACAGCATACCGAATGAGCGGTAGATTAAAAAAAATGTTATGACTATTCAAAAGTGCTTCAATGTACGTTTATTTGAATAAATGATTTTCTATTCTATTCTATTGGACGGGGGTTGAATCGATCGGACAGACAGCGACAGCGACTTTGTTTTATACTATGTAATGATGATCAAGGGACGAGTTACATATAGCGACAGAATACAGGTTTGATTCTATAAAATAACGTTTATCGCAGGGTATATGATCGGTACTCGTTCCAGCTGATACCTGTGCTGGGTCAGCTGATAGCCGGCCAGTGGAAACCTTACCAGTATCTAGTTGAGAGCATCAGACAGTTTCCAAATCAGGTAAAGTTTTTAATACTAGACTGTTGTATGATTCTTTTTGAGCCTACGTGGAGTTAAATTACCTTCTACTTCACTTAGAACAGGGGTGGCCAACAGGTCGATCAAGTTCAGTAGATCGTGGCAAAAAATATAAATACGTAGCATAATACTGCACAACGTAATTAAATAAGTTAAATACACATCATACATATAATTCACCAGTAGCATCTATACTAGGCCGAGCCTGTATCATACATACTACCTTCTTCCAGCGACAAAATTAAAAATTTGCAATTGCGTGGGTAGATTTAAATTCCAACTTATACAAAATATGAACGAATATATAAAATTATATTTTAATTAGTATTCTCAGTCAAATATGATAAATTTTTGCTATGATAATTATTTAATTCCTGCATGTGAAGTATGTCAAAGTCAATGTCAATGTCAATGTGTGATGTTGATTAATCTATTAATGTTACTTTCTCTCTTGTTAATTATCTGTCATTGTGTAAGTTTATAAGCTTCCTAATAAATATTAAATATAAAATATAGACTGCATATTATTATAAAATATCATATAAAACATGGCGCAGTGGTATTTACTGTAAGTCTAAACAGTGTATTTCGGCTATAACTATATCAAATCTGAAGCTGACCACGGATTAAAATTTCAAACAACATGGAGCGTAGCTGGGTGAAATTGCCCCCAAACTTCGACATTCGAGCTCAATCTGCAGCAACTGAATGGAGAGCTTGGAAAAGCATGTTTATAGATTATCTAGTGGCTGTCGGTAGTGACAAGGCTACAGACCAAATTAAATTATCTCTGCTGAGGAACATGATGGGTCCTGAGTCGACGAAAATCATATTATCGTTTAAGTTATCAAAGGAAGATAGTGAAAACTACAATAAAGTGTTACAAGAAATTGAGAATTATGTCAAGCCTAAATCTAACGACGTTTTTGAAAGGTACAAGTTTAATGAAAGAAAACAATTGGAAGGTGAAAATTTTGAAAGTTTTTACACTAATTTAAGGTTACTGATTGTAAATTGTAATTATATAGAGTCTATAGAGGATGATTTACTAAGAGATCGTATCGTTCAAGGCATTTTCGATAAACAATTACAAGAAAGTTTGCTCCGAGTCGAGAACTTGACGTTGGACAAAGCTACAAGTAGATGCAGAGCAGCAGAAGCTAGCCGTTCTCAAGTAATGGAAATGAATCCAACCTGTATTGAAGTAGATAGAGTAAAGAGTTATGGAAATAAAAGAACTGAGAAGAAGTTTCAAAGAAATATAAATAATAAATTTGATTGTCGTCGTTGTAAAAGTCAGCATGGTCCGAGAGAGTGTCCTGCATATGGGAAAAAATGTGCAAAATGTGGTATATTAAATCACTTCGCAGTGAGCTGTAAAGTGAAGAAAATAAGTGAAGCTGTGTGTAATAAATCAAATTCATCAAATGAAGAGTTATTTTGTGGAGTAGTGTTGTCAAATATAAAAAAGAATAGAAGTGAGTGGGAAGAAAATATACAAATAGAGGACAAAATTTTTAAGTGCAAGCTAGACACAGGAGCGGATGTGAGTATTCTGCCAAAGAGTGTATTTGATAAATTAAATTACAAGTTAAATTGTAAAATTCAGAAGACAGAGTTAACAGTACAATCTTTTACTGGAGAAAATATTAAGCCAATAGGCATTGTAAATCTTAAATGCAAGTATAAAAATAAAATATGTAATGAGAATTTTGTCATAGCTGAAGCAAGTAACATACTTTTAGGGTTGCCGGCATGTGTCTCATTAAATTTGGTGAAACGAATTCATAGTGTTCAGGTGACAAATAATGATAAAGATAAATTTGTAAATAATAATATAGTAGTTTTTGAAGGAATAGGAAGGTTGCCAGGAAAAGTTGAAATTCCTACCAGAGCTACAGAAGAATATATTTGTCATCCTTCTCCGAGATTACCATCTTGTTTGCTTGAACCTTTAAAAGCAGAACTAAATAGATTAGTAGAGAGAAAATCAATTGTTAAAGTTAATAATATTAGTGAAAATGCATATATAAACAGAATGGTAATAGTAGAGAAGCCAAATCGTAAAGTTAGGTTATGTCTCGATCCATTAGACTTAAATAAAATTATTGTAAAAAAACCTAAATGTTTACCCACATTGGAGGATTTAAGTTTTAAATTACAGGGTAAGAAGTTTTTCTCTGTTTTAGACTTAACTGAAGGCTTTCATCATCTAAGTTTGTCTGAGGAGTCATCTTGGAAGTGTTGTTTTGCTACACCTTATGGAGTTTATAGATATCTTGTGTTACCATATGGTTTAATGAATGCACCAGAATTATTTCAGGATGTACTTGAAAGTCATTTTTCAGAAGTGTCAAATGTTATTATTTGGGCTGATGATATTTTAGTAATGGGAAACACTGAAAAAGAGCATGATTTAGCATTGCAGAGTGTAATCCAGAAAGCAAAGAAATTAGGTATTGTTTTCAATAAAAATAAATTTCAATATAAACAAAGAGAGGTTAAATATGTAGGCCAAGTTTTTAATGAATATGGAATGTCACTTGATCAGGATAGAGTTGAGTCATTAGTTAATTTAAAAGAACCAAGTAATAGAGATGAGTTGAGACAAATATTAGGATCTTTCAATTATGTACGAAGGTATGTGCCTGACATGGCAAATATAATGGCACCACTTTTCAATTTATTAAAGAAAAATTCTGAGTTTACATGGTTACCTGCTCATAGTCTTACTTTTACTGAGCTGAAAAGAAAAATATGTTCAGCACCATCTTTGACACCTTTTGACCCCAAAAAGAAAATTATTTTACAATGTGATGCAAGTAAAAGTGGATTAGGTTGTTGTCTATTTCAGAATAATGAACAAAATATACTAAAGTTAGTAGCATGTGCATCTAGATCTATGAATGATTCAGAGCTTAATTATAGTCAGACAGAAAAAGAATTATTATCAATATGTTTTGGTATAAAAAAGTTTCATAGATATGTTTATGGTTGCAATGTTGATGTTCAAACAGATCACAAACCAATTGTATCAATTATGTCAAAACCAGTTTGTAAAATAGGATCTCCTCGTTTGAAACGCTTAAGATTGAAATTATTTACATATAATTTGAATGTATATTATGTACCAGGAAAGTTATTACATTTCGCTGACATGTTATCAAGAAATTGTCTAAGTATTACAGAAAATGATAATCAAATGTCACAAATAGTACACTCTGTTACTGTACACTTGCCTATGTCAAAAGAAAGAAAACAAGATTTTCAAAATAAAACAAAAGCTGATGTAACATTAAGTTTATTAAATAAATATTATATTAATGGATGGCCAGAGATGAATAAAATTACTGAATTGTGTAAAGAGTATTATAAGTTAAAAAATGATATCTATTTTGAAGACGGCATTGCTTTCCTTGAAAATAAAATAATTGTACCTAAATCATTGAGAAGTTATGTATTAAATATAATTCATGAAGGTCATGCTGGAATCTGTAAGTGTATAAAAAAAGCTAGGCAATTATTTTATTGGCCAGGTCTTACAAATGATATTAAGGATTTTGTAATGAAATGTAGGACTTGTGAAAAGTTTAGTGATTCTAATAAAAGTGATAATTTGTTACTTCACAAGATTCCAAACAGAAGATATGCTAAAATAGGTACTGATATATTAGATTTTTGTGGAAAATACTTTTTAGTTGTAGTTGATTATTTTTCACATTGGCTTGAAGTATTGCCATTATCTGACAAAACTTCTTCATCTGTTATAAATGCATTCCAGGAAGTTTTCATGCGATTTGGTTACCCTGAAGAAGTTATTGCAGATAATAACCCTTTTAATTCTTTTGAATGTTTAAAATATTTTAAAAGTAAAGATATAAGTTTAATAACTAGCAGTCCACATTACCCAAAGAGTAATGGTATGGCTGAAAAGGCAGTACATATAAGCAAAAAGATTCTATGTAAAGCTAAGGAGGATAAAGTTGATTATAGAGAATATGTCCTAAGTTATAATAATACACCATTGTCCACATTGCATGTTTCTCCGTCTCAAATTCTAAACAGTCGTAGAGTCCGTACATTGTTACCTATGAATGAAAAATTATTAAATCCGAAGGTTGAGGAAAATATACATAAGTTGCTACTTCTAAAACAGTCAGTGTTGCAAAAGGAAAAGTTTGTTAAGAAAAAGGAAATGGAATATAAAATAGGAGATAAGGTAGTTCATAAGACTGATAAAGACAAATTTTGGAGAAAAGGTATTATTGTGGGAAAATGTAAAGAACCTAGATCTTATTGGATACAAAAGGAGGGAGAAGATAGGAAAATAAGAAGGAATATTAAACATATAAAGAAATCTTTTTCAGATTGTAAAAGTGCAAATAAACTCAATCCTTTTTTATCTAATTATAATGAAGATTTTGATCAGGAATCTGATATAAATCTAAATGTTCCCATTTCACCTAGACCTGTAATAACCTGTAGGAATCAAGTACCACTAAGTGTAACTACTAGATATGGTAGAACTACTAAGCCTAGAAGGGTGTTAGATCTGTAAGCTAAAGGGGAAGGTGAAGTATGTCAAAGTCAATGTCAATGTCAATGTGTGATGTTGATTAATCTATTAATGTTACTTTCTCTCTTGTTAATTATCTGTCATTGTGTAAGTTTATAAGCTTCCTAATAAATATTAAATATAAAATATAGACTGCATATTATTATAAAATATCATATAAAACAGCATGTATGCCGGAGGACGTCATTTAATAAGAAGTCTTGCTCTCAATGGACTGCAGACTCTCATTGCCATTTGCCAACCAATCCGATTATAGTAGACATACTGATCGCGGATAACCCAGAAAAAAAAAATAGTTTAAATAAAAGTAAATTTCACTAAATTTCAAACAAACAGTACAAATATAGCTTGTTGATAACAATAAGAATTATTTCAATATGCCAAAGATGAAAGATAAACAGTTTAGCACATCGCTTTACTCACGATGGTTGCGGGTTCGATTTCTCGATTTTAGCTTTTTTTATAATAATAATATCTCAGGACAATTCACACAGCGCCATCTAGTCCCAAGTTAAGCAGAGCTTGTGTTATGGGTACTCGACAACTGACATAAATACATGGATACATTTTTTTTTTCTATATAAATACATATTATACATAGAAAACACCCAGACCGATACTATCATACTCATGAATAAAAATGTTTGTACCGTGCGAGGAATCGAACCCACGACCATCGGATAGTAAAGCGGTGTGCTAAACCACCACCGAGGCTGTCAACATTGTATGTGAACGTTTATGGGAGCGTCTGAAGGCAACTGTTTTTAATTAAATTTAATTCTGAATAATATTTTTTTTATCTTTATCAGTTTACTTATATAGCTTGTCCAGTACTGATAACACAAACTCTGCTTAGCTTGGGACCATATCATTGAATACAATAAGTTTTATTTGATTCATTGAAAACTCCAAATTTTATGTTCGCAGGAAAAATTCAAGTCTATGATCGAGGATGCTGGATTTAGACAAGTCACATATGAAAATCTTACATTGGGAACTTGCGCTATCCATTCAGGGTTTAAAATATAATATTTATTGTTATAAAGGCAGGTATACACAGTGCAACATGTATTTTCCCTCCGATCGACCCCCGACCAATACTAACGGACCCCGGAGGTTCGAAGCCCAGGGGTGGCCTCAGACTAGTCATATTATTGTAGTTTTATAAAAATCTATTCAGTGATCGATTCCCCGCCCGAATCAAACTGGGATCGAAATTACGACCGTCTGAGCCGAGGTTCGAACCCCAGCGGTGTCCTCAGACTAAAGTCGTATCCGCTAGACGGGAATTGGCCTTTAGCCGCTCCATAAGTCCTTCCTTTGGTTTGGAGTGCCATCTGCACTCGCCCCCTATCGTCCGGTGAAGCTGTAAAGGCCAGCTGCGGCCAACAGCATTAGAGTAGTTCGATAACAAACGCAATATACTCTATGAATACTATATTTGAGTTCACTTAGGTTTTAATACGTTTACTTCCATCAGAAATATATAAAAAGGCAGTTGCATTGTGTGTACATGTCTTAAATTAGTTGATAGGGTATAAAATAAACAACATTATGTCCAAAAAGAATTTATTTAGTCCATCAAACTGTAAGTTTTTGGAATGTAATCCAGTACCTAAATACATTTCCAGCCATTACAACTATGATACAGTCGACGCTCGGCCGATTATATGGTACAATTTGTGATCCGTCTGTTTATCAATATAATATAATATATACCTCGCACTCGCTCACATTCACACAATTTGGGAATAACAAACTACGTCAAATAAACCTGGCATTCGTTCCACGCTCGTCTCGCGCCGGCCTCTCGCTCGCACCTCTCGAATTAAGCGGAGAAAATGCATGCTAATTATTATATGACATAAATGTTAGGTGTCACACTAATGAGCGAAGCTTAATTATACTCGTCAGTTCTAACCGTCGCTCACCTACGTCTAGAAAATAAAACGCAGACATCGAGAAGCAAATAAAGTGTGAGTTAGGGATATCCAAACAAACAATGACGCTTTACACGGTGACAGTTCACTGGCTGCCGAGGTCTCGCCGCCGCAGTGGGCCCACTTTTTCGACTCGGTTTTTCAAAAAGCGATTAACTTAATCTGCCAATTAACGCTTGTTAACCTCATGCAGAGCTATTATATAAACTTTGCGTTCTATACATGAAAAACAATTATTTTTGTCCTATCCAAATATTAGTTTTAAGAATAAATATATCTATAACTTTGTGAGGGTAACAAACATTATCTATTGGCTTCTTAAGTTAATTGTTAATTGAAAAAATCGTGGGCGAGTACCGTCAAAGCACGTCGCTCGTTCACAAGACGCAAGTTACGAGCGTGGGCGTTTCTCGCCGTGACTGCAACAGGCGGAGGCGGATGGTGATGGTAAACGGGCATAGACGCGACGGCGAGAGGGACAGCGGCGAACTGTCGCCGTATAAACATGCCATAATACTTTGTACCGAGCGTGCACTCAACATAAGTTATTTGCAATAATTACAAAATCATACCCAAAGATCCGTGATCCGGCGTCCGTTCGGTCCGTTCGGTCCGTTCTGTGCGTCCGACAACCCGACTGGCCACATCCGAGATCCTTCGGTACGATCCCACTCCGTGCGAGAGTGCACCGGCACCGTCCTACTGCGATCCGATCCGATCCAATCCGACACTAACACCCGTCCGTCCGATCCGTCCCTGATCCGATCCGATCCGATCCTACGGCATCCTGACTCACACCTCCAGCCAAGCACATCCAATGATCCCAATCCACAGTGGATGAAACAAAAGAAAACTTATTTAATTATCTAATAATTGTTTTGTCATATTAAAATTAATTTACAAAAGATTACGACGGCCCGTCGCGGTCCCTCATCTATACACTTATCATATGTCGAATTATTAAAATAACCATTTGAAATAAAGAACTTATATAGTCAAAAATTTATCTGTAAAATTCTCAGCCTACAAACGTCACTCGACAATAACACACGTATAACATTAATATCAACTACAATAACACAGATCAAATTGAATCCATAATTTCATGATATGAACAGGTATAAACATCTAGCTACACAGTACATACATCGCTTTAGGGACGAGCCGAAAATTGTACAGATAAGAGCGTGGTTGCAACGGGCCGTGAAATATGTAGAGCTAGTTATGTGTAGAGCTAGTGTAACTAGTCTAGTCGGACGACTGCTGCTCCGGCGCTGGCTGCTGCGGCTGGCGCTGTCAACAACATGCTCAGTCGGTCACATGTCCACACCTCTATACATTACATACGCAATGATACTTTGAATAATTGAATCTAAACTTGTGGGCCAGTCCCCAGTCTGTTCAGGTTACGAACACTGTGACTTTTTGCAATAGCATATTCTCCCAAATTTGAATTTAAATTAAACTGTATTATTTTAAACATGTACAACATTTATTTGAAAAGAATACAAGTTGAGTTTCTTGTCAGTTCTTCTCATCTCGAAATCATTCCGAACTGACGGTAGATTTGACAAGAGTCTGTAACAGATCTACATGAGTAACGATATTTTGAATTTGAAAACACATTCTAGATATCGTATAAACTAGTCGCCTATATTATAGAACGAGCAGATCCGACCACGTGTTGCTGTGGCTAAGTTTCTTGAATAAAATAGTATTACGACTTGAGATTTAATGAGATGTAAGCTATCCTATCATTCAAGTTGAATCAAATTGCACACAACATGCAAATCAATTTTGCAATCGATTCAGTAGTTTGGGAGTCCATCACGGACGAACAACGTGACACGTTTTTATATATAAATATAGAAGCAAGATAGCTATTATAGAATAATAAACTGACTAGATCACTTCCATACATTATTCATGAACTAAACTTGACGGTCTCGAGGGTCTAACGGTTTAGTACACCGTCATACTCATGGCCGCGGGTTCGATTCCTCGCACGATACGAAGATTTGTATTTATAAATATTATTATATCAGTCCGGATGTTTTTTATGTATATAAATTGTCTAGTATCTATAACACAAGCTCTGCTTAGCTTGGGACTAGATAGTGCTGTGTGAATTATACACAAAAAAACGAAATGGCTCTCAAAAACTTTGTAACTTTTGAATTATATTAACATAAGATATATATATAGAAATGCAACTATTTCATTATATAACCGATCATTTTATATTTTCGATTCTACAATCACTATTTATTCCCAATGCAATGAAATTTATACATAAAAAATTCAAAGTATCATTGTTTCAATTATAATAAAAAAAATGTTACTTGTTTCAAATTGTCCAGTAGTCTGAAAAATCGTTTTTAAAGACATAGTTATGATGAAACTTATAGCTAAAATGTGTTGACTGTACATATGTGTACAGAAACAAGAGATCCTGAATTGAATCACAATTGAAGAGATCTTCAAATGTTGTGCATGAATTTGGTAGACATTATTTAAATATTATATGAAAATTAAACATAAATATATAAATGTTAACAAGTTTTATATTGTGAGTAACATCGTTGAATATTGGGAACCTTTTAAATATTACAATAACTATTTAGTTTGTATATTGTGTACAATCATATACTACTGTATGTAAGTGATATTGTAAACAATTTTTGAGTTAGATTTGAATATTACATTATGACTGTATATGTAGATCGACTTGAAGCTACTGTTACATCTTATAGGGATCTATTTATAATTGATTCAGGTATTAGATTTATTTAACTGCCACATAAACAGATTGGAGAGTGTAATATTGAAATAACAGTTTTCTACTATATGCATGTGAATATAAATATGGTACAGACACATTGTCTGTTTGTTCCGGCTAATCTCTAAAATAGCTGGACCGATTTTGACGGGACTTTTATTGGCAGGTAGCTGATGTAATAAGGAGTAACTTAGGCTACTTTGATTTTAGAAAAATAAAGTTAAATTCCACGCGCACGAAGTCGCGGGTACAGCTAGTAAGTAATAATTAAAATATGACTGATATATGATTTTGACATATATTAATTATTTGAAAAAAAAAACTAATATTCATCTAAATTTAAAAAAGCTTCAAAGGCAGTACTCGCGTAATAGACTGTTAGTCTATGTTTTTGGGATAATATTTGTTTTGTTTTAGTTTAGGTTATGTAAAGTGTAGCGTGTAGATGTGTGTGTGTGTGTGTATGTATGTACGTACCTGGTGTGTAGGAGAGCGCCTCAGTAGGGGGAGCGGGAGCGCGAGCGGGAGCGCGAGTACGAGCGACGCACCGGGGAGTACGTCGGGGAGCCGCGCCGCCGCGGGGAGTACGACCGGGACCTGCACCCACACCACACGCTCTCACTACTACATCTCACTATCCATATAATAGCCCTCATTACTCCACTATGATAGCTCCTCACTACTCCACTTCACGTTAGCCCATATTACTCCGCTCTATGATTGCCCCTCACTACTCTACTTCATGTTTTGGTTGCGAACACTGATAATTTTTTTGTTCTTTGCGATATCATATGCTGGTGGTCACTCTATTCTTCCAAATTTCAATTTTAATGACTGTGTATTATTGCAAACGTGTACAACGTTTATTTGAAAAGAATACGAGCTGAGTTTCTTGTCAGTTCTTCTCATCTCGAAATCATTCCGAACTGACAGTAGCTTTGACAAATCATAAGAGTCTGTAATAGACCTATATGAATAAAGATATTTTGAATTTTGTTAACCCTCATTACTCCACCCCAGGATAGCCCATGACTATTCCACTCTATGATAGCCCTCACTACTCCACTCCAGGATAGCTCCTCACTACTCCACTTTATGTTAGCCCTTATATACTCTACATCATGATAACCCCTCACTACTCCATAACTAACCATAAATAAGAATACCATCTATTATATATTACTTTTATAACAAATTTCATTTCATTTCCACTCTATGATAGCCCTCTGTACCTTATGCCAGCAATAATGGTACTCTTGCCTATACTACACCGCTGCTCATAATACCCTCATCAGGGTGGAGAGAGAGAATCATTAATAATGGAAACAAGTAACTTCATTGCTAGCAATATAGTGTGAGATTGGTTGACTTCCATGCGGTCTGTCCTGAATACCATCCTGGTTAATTCACCATGATGGGCTGACTGACTTGACCATACATCATGATCATCATCTTTCACAGGCTTGTACATAACATATTTTCTACACTATACAAAGAGTTAATATATAGAAGTCTCCATGGTTTATTTCCATAGATGCATCTAAGACATACCATAGATAAAAAGTCGCGTCTGATGCATACTATTCCCAATTTACATTTTTTTACCAATTTCCAAAAAAAGCAATTTCATTATTTTACTATACTTTATATGTCTCATCACCTTAAGAAGAAAGTTTTACTTTTTCTTATGAGAACTAATTTTGATAATTATTTTATTTGCAAGCTGGTAATGTCTTGGTAATCTGATTAGTAGATTATTAATTCTACTGCGAGAGACTAGTCTCTCCCTAATATCCCAATATCTCGTCTAATTAATTGTAATAAAAGGTAAAGTTTGGGAGGGGATGTACAGAACAGAACAATCAAATTTATATAGGATGGCCACAGTACCTGTCACCACCACCGCCACCGCCACCACCGCCGCCCCCGTAGTCCTCCTTCACACGTATGTACGACACCTCGCCCTGCAGACAAGTTCATACATCAACCATCATAGTGTCATGAACTAACTAGGACAAAATTGACAGGGGGAGCATCAATAGAGTACTCAAATCAGCGCTACAGATACACTGTACATAGTTATATAATAATAATAATATCAGGACAATTCACACAGCGCCATCTAGACCCAAGTTAAGCTGGTTAAAGCTTGTGTTATGGGTACTAGATAACTAATACGAAAAAATTTTTTTTTCCTAAATACATACTTGTTATATTTAGAAAATACCCAGACTGATACAAACAATCATACTCATGAATACAAATGTTTGTGCCGTGCGAATCGAACCCGCGACCATCGGATGTAAAGCGGTGTGCTAGACCGCTAGACCACCGAGGTCGTCGTTATATGCAGAGTTAGATACATTTTATGATAATGGAATGGTGCACCCGCCTGCGCTTGCCGTTTACACTGACGGATTATAAAATGTGCATTAGGTCAAGTTACTCAGCATTGTGACAAATTCACCAAGGAATTTATCACAATGGTTTCCAAGGGTACCATGCGGTGTTCAATCTGACATGGTATTTTGCCCATTTTTAGAAAAGAATTATGTTAGATTGGGCCCCCAAGTGAAGTTTCTTGAAAAGCATAGAGGTTAATTTCTGATGAATGAATGAATGAATTAACCTCAATCAAATTTAAACATTATTCTATCATCTTCTATAAAAAAAAAGACAGAGATATAGAAAATAATTCAGAGGAATTACAAATAGATATCCTTGAATTTCCACTAATGCCAGAATCAAACTGGCAAACAAAAAGAGCTATATTACTACAGACTATAGTTCATAGCTGTGGGTGCTCACCTCATGGCTCCTGAATCTTGAGTCATCCAATTTCTTAACAGCATACTTCATATCCTCGTGACGTAGAAACTCCACCACACCTGTGCCATCTTTGAAGGTATCGGCAAAGCAGACATCACCCGCTTCCCGCATATGATCTTTCAAGTCCTGCCAGGACCCTGATGGTGGTAGTCCAGTGACGAGCACACGGTATTCTGATCGGCGAGCGGGAGGTCCCCTGGTCGCTGTCCTGGCTCCGAACCGCTCGGGTCCTCCTCGGCCTCCTCTCATGCCTCCACCGCCGCCACCGCGAGGAAACTCCACGCGTAGTCTGTACCCATCATAGTCGTAACCGTCGCGGGCGCGGACTGCATCGTCAGCATCTCTGTAACATTGTTTTAGATTTTTTTATGCAAATTGAATAGACAAGCAGTTCTAATCAAGTGGAGATCCATTTTTTTTAATGGATGATAATGTAATGGCGCTCCTGCCCGCGCTAACGGTTTACGCTGGCGGGGCACCAGTAGAGGATGATAAGATGAGCATGAGGTCAGGTCAGTTAGCCCATCGTGACAAATTCACCAGTAATTTATCACGATGGTTTCCAGGGGGAACCACATGGAGGTCAACCTGATAGGGTACATTGCTAGCAATGAGATCATCAGTACACTTTACTAACAATCCATTTGGAATGATGTAGCATTGATAATTTCTATAAATATTTATGTAAAAACAATAATAAATAGCATGGTATCATTAATGGCACATAATTAATTATTTATGTCTTATCTATACAAATAAATAAAATTTAAGTGTCTCAGCTTTTTACTCTATGTACCCCCAATATCAAATTATTAATTGTTTTCTCTGTTCACTCCTAGATTGCTGATATTGTAAGGAGTAACATAGACTGGGGGGGAAAGAGGATTGTTTGTAATGTGGACTGATGATCTCATTGCTAGCAATATACCATGTCAGGTTAACATCCATGCAGTTCCCCCTGAAATCACCATGATAAATTCTTGTTGAATTTGTAATGATGGCCTAACTGACCTGACCTCATGCTCATCTTAACATCCTTCACTGGTGCACCGCCAGCGTAAACCGTTAGCACAGGCAGGTGCACCATTCAATTATCATCCATAAAAAAAACCTAGGCCACTCTGATTTTAGAAAGTGGCTTAAATATGATGGTTGTAATACACATGGACAATGATGCAGAACAGCTTGTTTAATAAAAATTTTGAGACACTGTAAATACATACAAAATATACAGGAATTTGTTAGGGTTCACATCAATATTGTCAAAAATCTGATATTTTAAAAATATTAAAAGAAGGTAATTTCATTATTACTCGGTATTGTTAAACTAGTTGCGTATAAGCCCCACTCATATCTTCTCTGTATAAAAGGGAGGGTTTTTGTAAGCCGCGGAATTCAGTGACTGAGCATAGTATGTGCTGGTTCTAATTTAAATGCTAAAGTGAATTGTATTAGAGACATAGTTAAATTAATGTTATATAGTTGTTATTTTATTATAATACATACTTTTACTAGTACATAGAGTTACATATAGATATATAGAGTTGATATATTTTACAAATTACAGTAATTAAATATACATTAATTGCATATAATAGATTTATAACTACCTCATTAACTATACATATAAAAAAAAATTGTAATGTTTGTTTGTAGTATTGAAATAACCGTTTTGTATTACATACATATGAATATAAATACGGTACATACACCAAAATAACATTTTTTACAATTTTTGTCAGGTAGCTGATATAATAAGGAGGAACTTAGGCTACTTTTATTTTAGAAAAATTCTTTTATTTTATTGAAATAAAGTTAAATTCCACGCGGATGAAGACGTGTGTATGATGTGTATGATATAAATACACACAAACATAAAGACAGACAGAGGTCATCAAACAATTGTATTATAATATATATATATATTGAATTTAAGTTAACAAATTCATACGTGATGCCACAATAAAAACTAGAGAGAAAATTTAATTGAGCATTTACATTTTTGTTTATCAAGCAAAAATATCTAAACTTGAAATTTTCGCACATGAACGAATAATTGAAGTATGTAGTACAAGTGGCATTAAATTACACGTGATTATTTTGTGACGGAATTTTCCAATCTAATACAGTAGGCGTACGATAGACAAACATTGATAATTTTAAAATCGACATGATGGCTGTCTTTATAAACACAAAATGATTTTAATGATACTTTATATTGATTATTTCTCACCTAGGATCCTCAAACTCGACGAAAGCGAATGGTGGCCCTTTCCTGTTCTTCAAATCGACAAATGTAACTTTGCCGAATTTGTAAAATAGGTCTTGTATGTCCTTTGTCCTAATATCCGGAGGTAAGTTACCGACATATATTCTGCACTCATTTCTATTGTTGCCGCTACCTCCCGACATAATATTTATATCTTATGCAGATGGTACGTAAATTTTATAATTATGAAGAAACACTGTTTTCCATTCGGAACAAAATTCAAGCTATAGCGTCAGTTTGGTATGATCCAACAATTAAATTAATCAAATATGGCGTCGTCCGTGTGACGGACTAATGGACGATTTTAGCGTTTGACAGTTGCATTGCAATTCCACAGGAAAAGGAATTTACATGTTTTTTTACAAACGAATGCGTTCATGCCGCCATTTCTTGAAACGTTTCTAAATTGAGTATGTCGTATAAAATTGATGAATTATCTCACGATAATTTATCAAATTTTATCATTTATTTAATATACCATATCTAAAATATCTTTTTGATAACTTTAATAATAATCATAAAGTGTTTCTCATTGTAAAATATTGAAATGTTGTATTTAAAGCAACATCATGGTGACCACATTAAATCAAAACCCTATCGCTTTGTGTAACATTACGTCTACTAGCCATTATATTCTGAAAATTAATATTTTTGAAAATAATGAATATATTTAACCAGAATATTTGTTACATTTAGAGTAATTTTTGTTGTAATCAAATAGTAATGTAATAAAAATTTAAGTTGAACGGGGATTTCATTGTTTGATATTTATCATAAAAAAATATCTTACAGAATTAAAAAGTAACGTACTCTTGTTCTTTTTTTAACCACTAAAAAGGTCTAATAGATTTCTAATATGGGTTAAAACGTCGTATAAAGCGTAAAGAATTCTTTTATTTCAGACTGGCCGAAAATAAAACACTATGTTTAGAACGCACCATAATACACGTCATTTTTTAATCTTTCAAATTTGGAACGCCATCTGCAGCACTACAAAGAAACATTTAACGAAAGAAGCCTGTGAAAGAATCCTATAGAAAGTAGTCAGAATCTCCGGTATCAAAATCTTTACGTGATAATTTGTTCATATCTGGAAGTAAAAGTGAGTATATATTATTTTAGTGTTAATATTTTCTTTGTTATTTATAGTTATTATTATTTTAGTGAAAATTTAGCAGGTAATTTTGGAAATAATCATAAAATGGTGATTTGTTGAATAATGCGGTTTCAAACCGCATGTATTCGCTAAAATATGCCTGTATTGATCAAACTTTCATGTTTCTATGGTATTATAGCAGTAACCTGGTAGGTGGGATTAGTTTTATCTTGTTTGCAAGCCTTTATTAATACGGGGGTCGTTCGCGCTCTTCCTCGATTTCTATTGATGACGGGCCTGTCTGCTACCGCTTCCGTTCGAATAAGCACGAAAAAACGTCCGCAGTGCATACAGGAGTCCAGGTATACCTACAGTGCTCGTTAGGTTTTATTTGAACAATCTAGAAAATTTGCGAAAGCATGCGGAGTTGATTCCCACGGTAAATTCATAAAGGGCGCGCTGGAGTCCCGGGTAGCTCCTGACCTTTACTGGAGTCTATTTTTAGCTTAGCCTGTTATTGAATATAAACATTCAATGAGCATTAGGCATGATGCTGAAAGCTACAGCTCTGGTATCGAAACATTTCATATCCTAATCTTTCCACGTCCCTGATAACGCGAGATAAAATATTATATAGGCTTATGAAAATCATGCAGATGAAAACAAAATTACGTTAGTTTACTGATTACAAGGTTAGCATTTCTACTACGGAAAGTTTTTAATTTTTTCTAAACATTTTTTTTTGTTAATTTTCTTTGACATACTGATTCATCACAATATTATTTACTTTAAATATATTTAATACTTGTAAATAAAATAAAGCATATTAATATTCAACCGCTATTACATATTTTAGTCTTCTATAAAAAATTAAAACAGTGTACTTAATTTTAATTTTTTTTTATGAAAATATCTCGTAATAAGAGGACATAAATGTTTAATAGGTGAAATAATTTTATTATGTTAGTCTTTAAAATACAAAATACTCTAATTTATTTTAGTTATCAACTAAAATGAGTCTGGAGGGGTTGTGATAAATATTGATATCCAAAGTGTTTTTCTAACTGTGATCTATTTATAATGCATTTAAAATCAATAAAATTAATAATAAATGATAGACCGTGGTGATAGAAAGAAGCAGGGTTTAGACAAAATTAATATATATAGATTTTTTTATTTAATTCAGGCCACATGGCCCATATTACAAATACCTTGTAGACAAACATACATAAAAAATGTCTCTATGGTCACGGCACTGACGACAACAATCGGCAACGGTAGTGCCGATACACCACCCCGTTCGGCCAGTATTCCTCAGTCATGAAGGTGGGGCAGCATGTTGATGGGGGACCTGGGCCATGAACCCTTGAAGCTCGTTTGAATTTATAACAATAGTCAATAATTTTTGTTTGTTGCGGCAGGAACACAGCTGACAAGATGTGCGACCGCAAGGCGGTGATCAAGAATGCCGACATGAGCGAAGAGATGCAGCAAGACGCAGTAGATTGTGCAACACAAGCGCTCGAGAAATTTAACATTGAGAAAGTAAGCCATTTCAATTTTACACTCTGTAGTATTTTATCTAACTAGTGGTAGATCACCTTGGCTTCTTTCAGGTGATTGTTCCTTCTTAAGTATTCCAAATTTTACTCTGCTATTTTATCTTACACTCATAGGACATCTTGGCGTCTTTCAGGTGCTTGTTTCTTTGTAAGTTTTGTAAATATTTCCATTTTATTTATTACAAATAGTACACAATTATACTTTTGAAATTTTGACAATACATAGTTTGGCATAAAAATAACATTTAATAATCAAATTTAATCAAACAGAATTTATTTGTGTAGGACATTTTAGCCACTTATGAATGTCAAATTTTTTTGTATTATTTTTCCCACCCGTCCAGTTCAGTATAAAGATTCAATTGCAAAGAACAGGCAATTTTTTCCCTTGCAGTTCAGTATAAAGATTCAGTAGAGAAGAATTGACAAGAAACTCAACTAAATTTCTATTTTTTTAAAAGATATACTGTGATCTTATATAAGTGTCTGGTATGTGATTTAACAGATGTTTTGAATTTATTTAAAACCAATTCCAGTATATCCCTTGCGATCTTATTGTAAATTTTTATACCCATTAAAAGACCTATAATAGGATTTACTCAGTAAATGCGTCATACTCGTGAACGAGTGCTGCTTGTAGGGACTGGTCTGCTCTTATCACTACGACTGATTTAATCTTATGTTTTTATATTTGAGCCTAAATAAATTAGTGCTGGTTGGTAGTTTGTAATCACACATTTCTACTTGTAAAATGTGAACTTACGAGGATTATTTAAAAGAGTAACACACAAGTTTCTTGCTTGTTCTTGTGATGAGGCAGTTTTCCGAATGAGTGGTAGATTAGAAAGAATGTTACATTCAAAAGTGCTGAAATTAAGTTTTTTGAATAAATGATTTTCTATTCTAATATGATTTAACAGATATTTGGATTTGTATAAAGCTAATTACAGTGTATCCTTTGGTATCTTATTGTAAATTTTTATGCCAGTTCCCATAAAAGATCTATTGAATTTTAACATTGTGTGATCTGCAACAATACAAATTGGTTCTAAGCTCATTTGAATAATATATAGTCTGTCACTGTCATAATACAGGTTTTAAACTGTAGAATAATTTCTTTAATGGACTATAAACATGCAGTTTCTAGAGTTTTCTAGAGTTTCTGTGCTTAGCATGAACAGTTTTTTAACATCTGTATTTTTGATCTGAATCATTTTAAACATGAAATACAACCAGTATTTAGTTTAGATTACTTGAATGACGAGCGTGCATGGCAATAGTGCTTCATGCACGGGATTTTCATTTAATGTTGGACATGGACAAAACTGGCTTTTAAAAAAATAAAATAAAATATTCAATTGAGTTTCTTGCCAGTTCTTCTCAATTGGATTTATATACTGAACTGAACTGTAGGGAAAAATTAAAATTATCTAAATATATATAACTCAAAGGTGACTGCCCAAACCACTGGGCGGATCGGGCTGAAAAATGGCATACTTGCATGTACTGATCTATCAACGCACAGCCCAAACCACTGGACGGATCGGGCTGAAATTTGGTATACCTGCATGCCATGTTATGACGCCATCCGCTAAGAAAGGATTTTGATTAATTCTACCCCCAAGGGAATAAAATAGGGGATGAAAGTTTGTATGAAACTTTGTCAATTTTAAACCGATCGGGCTGAGACTTTGCATGCATAAAGCTACTATGATGTAGGCATCCCCTAAGAAAGGGTTTTAATAAATTCCACCTCTAAGGAGATAAAATATGGGATGAAAGTCTGTATAAATCTTCTTAGATTTTAGACTGATTGAACTTAAATTAAAGATCGGAGCTACTATGATGAAGACCTTCGCTTAAATAGGATTTTGATAAATTCAACCCCCATGGGGATAAAATAAGGGATGATGCAGGATGTAAATGTATTAGTTTGAACCTATCAGTACCTAATGGAACGAATAAATTAAGACGAACAAAATATTTTTTTGTTCTTTAGGCTACTTTTATTTTAGAAAAATAAAGTTAAATTGAACAGCTAGTAATGTAATAAAATTGAAGTTCATAAGCGGCTAATATGTCCTACATGAATAGAATAAATGATTTTTGAATTTGAATTGAATGAATGAATCTAAAAAAAAATGAATATCCATCTGTACAATATTAGAACACAATAGTCTAAGACCATACATAAGGTCCATTATACTATTATTAGTGAGGCCAACACTAACATTACAATTAAGTTTATCGAAGGCTATTTGCTCTTAAAGCTATGAATCTACATCCAGTTTTTTGTACAATTTACACAGCGCCATCTATGGGTCTAAATGTGCAGCTAGTGTTTCATAACCTTTGTGTAATGGAAGTGGTAGATTTGGTGTGCATATATTAATTGACCTACTGGCAGCCGCTAAACAAGTGGGGCCTCACAACACTGTGGTTATGTTAGTTAGTGCCGAGCGTTGCGTTCACACACTGATAAAACTGTATTTAAGTGGTTTTCCTGTGGTCGACCGCAATAAATAGATTGTTTGAACGACAATTTCACATGTACTTTAACTGTTGGGTATTGCTACAATTTATAAATAACTAGCTGATCCCGCGACTTCGTCTGCGTGGAATTTACCTTATTTTTCTAAAATATAAGTAACCTATGTTACTC